TAGATGAGAAACTCTTTGTAGTTGAAAGCTACCTGTTGCTTTAGATAAGAGCTCCCAGCTAAAATGGTTAATCTTTCTCTGGACCCTCAGGTTTGTTCATCCTGTCCTCGCCAGTCTTTTTCCTTTTATAAACCCGTGGGTTTCTGCATTTTGTTTGCTGAGTCTGTCAATTAGTGAGTTCTTTTGTTTTATCTCTGAGTCTCTGTTATGTGGTGAATGTCCTGACTTTGCCTAGCATGAGTTAACTTTGGCCTGTAGCTTTAACAAGGGCTATTTACATAAAACTAGCCTTAAACTAACTTAGTCTACATATGCTTCTAATGCTAATTTGGTTTATACTAACTTAATCCATATGTTAATTTTGGCTTAAAAACAGACAGGTAGGGGAGTCTTAAACTTCCTGGTCCTCCTGTCAGTCTTAGGGAACCACATTCCTACAAGATCACTAATTGGCTTTATTGCAATGGTTGGGGGTGATGTTTTACCCTTACAGGGTACCGTAATAACAGTAAAACTCACGGCAGAGAAATTGAATACCGGCCAGTACAAGGACACAAGGGAGAGCTCGTAAACTGGGCCCTGCCTCAGTTCCTTCCCAGTCCAGGCCCTGCCTTAGAATGGGAGGCAGCATCCTTACCAGCTTGTGTTGCCTGCATGGCCCCGTCAGGAATTGATAATAAAGTGCATCGAAGGTGCAGGCAGTGACAGATTGTGACAACTACTTGCTGAACTGTTAGTAATGGACGGGTAGAAGGCGTTGTTTTCAGACTTCTTTCTCAAGAGGCAGCATGCTTAGAGAGATTAAGTACTGTGTGTGGTGTCACAGCTGGGAAAGAGATAAAGCCAAAACTTGAAGCCAGCATCTGGCCTTGATGATGTAATTTAGGGCTATTACGGCAGAGAGGAAGGAAGAGGAAAGAGTAGTGGGAGATTTGATAGGCAATACAGGAGTTAAAAGGAAAATATGTAAAAAATATTCTGAACATCAACTGTACAGTCAGCCGGATAATCCACATAAAGTCCTTGGCTGGCCTGTAGGCACCTCTCGATAAATGTTAGCTGCTACCATCATCATTTCCACTGTCTCCATCCACAGATACACAGCATGAACCTTGCTGTCCCAAAGTATCGAGGTTAATCAGATTATAGAAAATTGCGTTATTCTACACCTTTTCCCTCTACAATCCTAAGCATGTTTCTATCTTAACCCTAAATTTACCACTTATAATTTTATTTTATTTTTTTGAGAGAAATTTTTGCTATAGGGCGTGTGCACTCACCAGAGAGACAGAGAAGGACAGAGAGAAAGTGAAAACCTACCCCCCCCCCAGGGGGAATGGCTATCCTGCAATCCCTTCTCCATTCTCCTCTTGGGATTTTGGGCATGCATGTATCCCCGCCCAGCATGAGTTTCAAGCACCAGGTCTAGGACTTGAACTGCAGCCGGCCACATGGGAGTCCAGCACCTTAACCACTCTGTCACCTATGGTCCTTCCACTTATCATTAGATTTAACAAGGATTTATCAAGTACCCTCTGTATAACAGGTACATATTATTACTTATTTCTTTATTATTATTATTATTATTATTTTAAAATTTGCTAGAGGATGCAGGTGCTTATTGGAGAGAGAAAGAAGAGAAAGTGAGAAATCACTCCTTTGCGTCAGGGAGTGATCACACTACAATCCCCTCTCCATTCTTCTCTCATGATTTTTGGGCATGCACGCACATGTGCCTAGCGTGTTTTTCAAGCTGCCGGGTCCAGGACTTGAACAGAGCAGTGGGCCATGTGGGATCCAGCCACCTAAACCACAATGCCACCAGCTAGCCCTATTATTGCTTATTTCACCTGCAAGTATAATTTAGCTTTGCATTGTGGGCACATAGTAAGTGCTCAGAAATTTGTGGATGAATGAACAGATGGAGAATGGGATACCATTTGACTTCTGCTCTTCAGGGCTTGGTTTCCTCTGTGCACTTTTTCTGACTTCAGTCACTTGTACAGTCACTTTTGGTCACTTGTACTGGCCAGTTAAAGTTATCTTATGGACTTGTATCCCAGAACCGGCGAGATTCTCTGCCTCACTCAATGCTGGTTGGCACCCCTAATCAGAAGTCTTTTCTCCAACTAAACTGCTTTTCAGCTATTTTGTGTCCTTACCCTAATATAGTATCCTTCTTTATTCTTATTGTTTGCTTAAGCATGAGCAGAAAGAGCACACTGTTTTTTTTTTCTTTGTGAAGTTTATTTATTTTCATAATAGAGACCTTGTGCACATGCATGAGGGAGAAAGACGCACACTCGACAGGGTCCTGACACGCTGTGACCACCACTCACTCCAGCCCTTCAGCTTGGCAGGATTCTGGTTACACACACGTATGTCCAGCGTGCCTTCAGGCTGACCTGGAACCTGAACCCGTAGTCAGCCCAGTGGCTTCCAGTGTTGTAGATCAGTATGCTACCAACTGCACCACTAGTCTGGGCCTTTCATTATTCTTAAAATGAAGAGTCATCGGTAGTTTGACCTCTCCTCAAAGTACTAGGAGGCCCCTTCTTTCTCTCTTAAGATCATAAGACTTAGAACCTTTAGCAGACATTAGTGTATCTGCCATGGAACTATAGATGAGCTAAGGAAACAGGATGTGGAAACTGAGGCTCCAGGAGGTGAGTGAGTGAGCAAATGATCCCAGGGCTCTTGCTTTAGGACACCCCAATATCAGTGAACACAAGTAAAAATCCTTCCGTGGACTTCTTCCAGCGAGGCCATGGAGGGGTACTCCCACACAGCCTCTTCAATAAAATACAACCATTTTCTAAGTAACCTTGTGTTTCTCTGTGCTCAGCATGGACAAATTTTCTGGATAAACCTTCACTCTCTGCTCTTCGCCTCCCTCAGGTCACTCTGACTGCTGAGACTGAATGTAGCTACATTTCCTGGCCCCGGAAAAGTCTCCACCTGCTTCTGACCAAAGAGCGCTACATTTCCCGCCTCTTCTCAGTCCTGCTGGGCTATGACATCTCAGAGAAGCTCTACACTCTCAATGACAAGCTCTTTGCCAAGTTTGGGCTGCGCTTCGACATCCGCCTCCCCAGTCTCTACCACGTCCTAGGCCCCACTGCCCCAGACACAGGGCCAGAGTCTGAGAAAGATGATGAGGAAGTCCATGAACCGGCCGTGTCCCCTCCTCTGGCCACTCCCACATCTATTCGTCAAACTTCCCCTTGTTCTTCCCCTCCAGCTGCTACCAACCCTTCTGCACCTCCTTCACGGGCCAGGATGTCCAGGCCCGACAGCGGCATCCTGGGTGAGGACTCCACCAGTTTGGTGCTGGAGGATTTTGAGGAGGTGTCAGGATCAGAGTCGTTTATGGATTATAGGAGTGATGGGGAGTACATGAGGTGAGGGGAGAACTAACATGGGCACAGCCTCGGCCGCACGATCCTATGTAAGTACTCTGAAGGCAGCTGCCACACAGTCCTGCCAACAGCTAACCCAAACTCAGCTTGCGAGGGCAAAATCCCACTTTGATGGAGCCTCTCCTCTCAGGGGACTCACAGAGAAAGGCATTAACTCACCTTGGCATATAACAACTCACTCTGGGTGCATGCAAGGCCTGAAGAACTGTGTACAATTCATTCATTATTAATTGATTTTATTTTGCAAAATGGGCTGGTTGACATTGTGAGCAGGCAGATAAGTTGCTATATTTTTTTTTTCCCCAAAGTTGTGTTAAGGGATAAGGCAGTGGTTTAGGCTAAAGGGGATTTTGTTTGTGGCATACATTTTAAAGAAGAAAACAAGCTGGCATGATTCTCATTCCTAATGAACGCCTATCTGGCCGGAGAGTCAGTTCTGGATTTACCAAGTACCCTCTGTATGCTAGGTACATGGAATTGTTCGTTTCTTTAGTATTGTTTAACCATTGTTATTCCTCTGGACTGGGGAGGTATGCTGTTAAAATCACATACTTTAAAGGAGTTTGTGATAACAGCTAATAGTTCTGGGAGGAAGAGGTCCCTATCTTCCCTTCCTCTTTTCTGATGGAGACTGTGTTGGCCACTTGGGGAGAGAACTGGATGCTGCCCTGATGAAATGTTGACCCTAATGCTACAATCAGATAGGTATACAGCAGCCTGGCTCTCCCCAGCAGACCACACCTGTGGGAGGTAGGATGGACAGGAACCTGGGAGGGCCTCACAGCCAGGAGAGTGTATGAGAAAGGCTGAGCTATGGGAAGTTACGCTCACGTTCCCCTTGGCTTCTCTCCCAGGGCAGAGCGACATTTTCCATTAGGACTCCACCCAGCCACCATAGGCTCCATGTTCCAGAGCAATAACTCACTGTTCCCAATTTGGAAGGTATTTCCAAATATAGGGGGCCCTAAGAGACCTGCCATTCTTTGGGCAATGCCAACAAATTTCCTGAGAAATGAGCCCAGTGAGGAAGGCCTCCAGGGTACATGAAGTGAATGAGTGAATGTTTATTTTGAAAAACAATTTGTAAATCATGAAAAAAGTCAAGAGAGGTATATGACAACAAGTTAAGATGTTTGGTTTTAAATATATGGAATCTGTCATCTCCTGTGGTACCCATATTCTTAGAACCATAGTTGAGCTAATTCTGGGGCAGTTCTAAGGATCTGTCTAATACCCAGATCACTTTATTGATTTCTTGCGTTTGCATTGTCCACACGAAGCACTTCTTTCCCATTGTCCTATTTACCCCCATTCATGCAGACTAGTTCTGTCTTAAGGATCCCCCTCTGTGTAACCTGCCTGCCCACCCAGACACTCTCTTATCAACTCCTAGCACGTCTCTGTCTTTTTAGATTTTTTTTTCTGGTTTTCTTTTCTTTTCCTGCTTCTGTTTTTTCTTTCTTTTCTTTCTGATTTCTGCTTAGTCTTTGGTTGCCTCAGTTTGCTGCCTATTTGGGTAGGTGGTTCACCCTTTATTTTATGACAAGTCTCCACCCTACCCGGGTCCGTGGTTCTCTCCAATCAGAAGTTCTTTGAGACAAAGCCTTGCCAAGCCAGAAATTGGAGTCATCTGATTCCCCCACCCTGCGAACGGCCCTGCAGATGGGGTAGGTCTTGAACTGGCGGGTAAACCTGCCGGTGACCTTGTCCACCTCGGCTGCGTTCATCCGGACACGTGGTCTTTGGCGCGGATGAGGCGGTTGCTGGCGCAGCACTTCCGCCACGCGAGTTCAGCATCTGGAGGCCGCCCTTGCTGTCCCCGTCCCGTGCGGGCGGAGAAAGTCACTTTGCTGCTCTTGTGTCCCTTTTCTTCTTCAGTTTATTTCCGTCTCTCCACTTGTCTTCTCCCCTTTTATTGTTTATGTATTTAGCTCTCCTATTACCTTGTTTTCCATCTCCCTACTTTCCTGCCTTGCTTTATCTATTCTTCCTCTGAAACCACTTTGAGCCCCAGTCTTACAAGCTTTTAATCATAACACTACCAAAATCAGTACCTTTCCGCCTGTCTGTAAAGAAAATTATTCAAGGGACCAGCAGTTGGCGTAATGGCTATGTCACTGGACTCCCATGTAATAGACCACGGTTCCAGTCCCGGACCTGGTGGCTTAAACTCACACTGGGTGCGTGTGCATACGTGCCCAAGATCCCGAGAGGAGAATGGAGGAGAAGGAGTTGCAGCGTGGCCATCCTCCCTGGGGGGTGATTTCTATAGCAAAAACTTCTCCAAAAAAAAAAAAAAAATTCAAGTGAAGGTGTAAAAATGCCCAACTTTAGGAAACAGTATGGTGAACAAGAAGGAACCGGGACTTGGAGCCCAGGTCTGGCTCTGCTACTAAAGCAAATAGGTGACTTTTGCAAACCAGGAAGCTTGCTTTCTTCATTTGGGCGTGTTAGACCAGCTGTCCCCAAACCCTCTTGGACTGATGTGAGAAGACAAAGGACACGTTTTTCAGAGGTGGGAAAGAGCAGTCAGTCAGCAGTACAATGGACACGAGGCCCGGAACGACTGAGCGTCTTTCTTCAAGAACTCGCTGCTGTATGCCACTGTGATTTCTCTGCTGATGGGACTGTCCTCCTCTCCACTGGGTGGTGGGTCCTGCTTGACTAGAAGCTTCTTCTGTTCTATTCCTGTGAAGAATCTGTCCCCTGCCATGTGATTACAGTGCGGACGTTCGACATGAGTCTCTACGTCCTCAACCCTTAATACTGTCATATGAAATGCTTCTTTCCAAACTCAGCCTTTTCTGAAACTGAAGATGAGAAAACTGCTAATGTAACACACGTTCCAAAGTACTGGTATTTGCAATACAAAACCAGTAGGGTTGTTTTTTTTTTTTAATTTAAGTTTTATACACACACACACACACACACACACACATTTACTTTCAAATCATAGAGATTTCAGCCTCTGGCAATGGGATAATTTAACCTCAATTCTTTTCTGGAATTGTTTTGGGATGTTTAGTTTGACTTACTTGCCATCGAACTCCTTACCTACTGTAACGGACAAGTATATTCCCTTATGATTGTAGCAATTTATTGGTGTTTTCTTTACAAAGTAGGGCACAATTGACCATCTATAACCAAAATGTTAAGCTCGTGCTGTTCACCCCCGTATGGCACTAACACGAGTGGTGTGAAGCTGGCTGGCTTCTGATTGTTGGGAGTGAGTGACACAGCCTCATCACGCTGATCCCAGTGCTCGTCCCTCACACCAATCCAATTTAAGACCGACTAAAAATAGAGCTTCCACTGGAGCTTTTTTTTTTTTTTGAAGAGAACATTATTTTTTTTTTTAGTCAAATGGTACCCCAAATAAATGAAAATGGGTGCTGCTTTTCTTCATAGGCAAAGCAGAGCTACGGAATAAAGTATTCACACAGGGTGAGCACAATATTCACCAGATCCCATGTCATTCCTACCTGTACAATAATTTTTCATTTTAATTATAGGGGACCTCCCCGCAGCGGTCATCCTTGTGTCTTACTATAGGAGTCGCTCAATGAATAAGGGACTTTTTATTTCTTTTAATTTGCCAGAGGGCACGTGTGCTCAATGGGGAGAGACAGAGAGAGAGAAAGTGAGAAAGCACCCCCATAGGGCATGGTCATGCATCTGGCATGATTTTCAAGCTACAGGTCCAGAATTCAAATGACACAGCTGGCTTCGTGGGATCTAGCTGTCTTGGCCACCATGCCATGGGCTGGCCCGAAGGACTCATTTTTAAAAATGCATCTCTGAGGTGGTCTGTTAAGTTAAATAATAAGTCCATTATCATAGCTAAGTGACATTTGACCAATTTTTATGAAGTTTTAAAATTATTCTGAAAACTCCTATTTGAAAAGTAAATACCAGGGACCAGCAGATGGTATAATGCTTATGTCACTGGACTCCCATGTAGTCAACTGCAGTTCCAGTTCCAAATCCAGTGGCTTAAAACTCACTGGGCACATGTGCATGCTAGCCCAAAATCCCAAGAGGAGAAGGGAAGACAAGGGATTGCAGCTTGGCCATCACCCCTGGGGGGTGATCTCTTGCTTTCTGTTGCTCCAGCAAACGCACACGCCCTGTAGCAAAAATCTCTTTAAAAAAAAGAAAAGTAAATACCATATATTGTTTTCTTTCTTCCTACTATTTAAATATAGAAGGATAGACAGACTATCGTATGGAGGTCACTTGTGGTCAGGGAAGGAGCCCAATACTGGAACATAAAACCAAGGCCCAGAGAACCAATCCAGCAAAGGTTTACTGACCATCTAGTCCAAACACAGGCACTGCGTAAACACGTGACAAACAGCTGAAATAATCGAGGGTGTTTAATTTGCAAAAAAAGGGGCAAATGTAGTATCTTCACATTTCAAAAAGAATTCGAATTTGAATTTGATTTAATTTGGTGTAGTTCTTGTGGGCAGAAATCAAAGTAAAACTGACAATTTTCAGGAGAAAGATTTTAGCCAGTATTAATACTCCATTGCTCATGGAGCGGTGAGTTACTCACCCTGCAACCATATAGCTCCCAACTTTTCTATTTCTGTTTTACAGGCCTCATTTTCCTATTCCTCTCTGTAAAAATTAAAGAAGTATTGGGCTAGTCCCATAGCTTAGTGGGACCTAGATCCTACATATTCAAATGCGGTTTGAATTCTGGCCCTCGCAGCTTTAAAAATACTCTAGGCGCATATGCATGCATGCCCCAGATCCCAGCGGGAGGGAGAAATGGAGGAAAAGGGACTGCAGCATGACCATACCCCTTTAGAGGTACTTTCTCTCTCACTCTCTCTGTCTCTCCATCTTCCTCCAGCTCTCTCTGATGAGCACACACCCGCTCTGACAGTTAAAAAAAAAAAAGTGTTATAAAACTTAGCATTTTTAATGTAAGTTTCCTTTTTCTTTCTTTAACTCATTTAGAAGGGTTAAATAAGGAGTAGAGTTCTATAGATCGTTCATAAGAAGCAGCAAGAATAGATCTCTTGGGCTTCTCACCTATAAAATGAGAGGATTAGACTAAAAAAGCGGACTCACCGTAATGCTCCAGAATAAAGTGATTCAAAGGTGCAGCTGTGCCTACCATGTTAGGCACCAGGTACTGTTAACACATTGGGAGTTGGTGGAGGAAAAGGAAAAACTGAAAAGTACCCTGTGAAGTTGGGCAAGCTATTCAGAGCCATGATGCTGAAATCCTTCCTCTTCTTCCCCCCACAGCTTCTAGAACTCCTCTTCAGAGCCACCCTGAAGTTGTATCCAGGGGACAGGCCCCTTTGGCTCCAACCCACACTCCTGAACTTTGAGGATTCACGCTGTTCTTTCGCTCTGCAGCCAGCATAAATCTCTCCCGTGTTCACAGGACACTCGTATGCACACCATTCTCTTCACCCACCGCAAGGCTCACAGGGAAGGTGGGAGTGGACACAGAAGGTGCCAGCACTGCGGATGGGCCCTAAGTGACTTTTAGAAAGGCGCCCTCATGAGCCTTCCTTCCACAAGGCACCCCAAAGTGCAAAAGCACAGACTCCAACCATCACGAGCTGCAGAATTTTGAGCAAGTTACATAGTTTCTCTGAGCCTCACCTGCAAAGTAGGGGTTAAAAAGCCACCTCACAGGGTTGTCGTGAGGATCATGAGTTGATTTAGGTAAAGCACCTAGGATGTGACATGGCACCTAGTGAGCACTCAATAAATCACTCAGCTGTGCCTCCCTATACTGTTTCTTTGAATTGTCTGAAAGGATCAACGTGGTCAGCTATAAGTTTTCACTAGTGATCATTTCTCATTTTTTGATCAAGATTCAATTTATGGAGGCTGGCAGGTGGTGTGGTGTTTGAGGCACTGGACTCCCACATGGCCACCCATAGTTCAAATCCTGGACCCAGTGGCCTGAAAATCACAACAAATAAATAGACAAATAAATAAATAGATTTTTTTTTTCAGTTTATAGCAGTGAAAATTTAAAAACCTAGTTTCCCCTTTGGCTTTTAAGTTCAATTTACAAATCTCATTCTATTTATAAACCTAGCATTATAAACAATAGTTTTTAGGGGAATTTTCACAAACTTAGTTAACTAAGTTTCCTTAAACACTTAAAAGAGAGTTTTAAAATTGAACATATTCAATTTTCTTTTTTCCCTTAAATACTTCAACATATATTCCAGTTATCTATTACTGTGTAATACTCATCCATAAAATGCATTTCAATAGTCCTAATAATTCATTTTGCTCATGACTGTGAGCCTTGACTAGGCTCAGCAAGGCAGTTCCATGGCTTTCCATGCTTTTGCAGTCAGATAATGGCTGCACTCAAAAAGCATCTCAAAGGCATTTCCATTCCTCTGTGTGGGGCCTAGTCTGGGAAGGCTCAAACAGCTGAGTGCTGCAAGAACTGGGGAGCCTTGAGCATCTCTTTCTTTTCCAATAGTTTATTCTTTACTTTTTTCTATTTTTGCTGTATAGTTCTCATAGAGTGATATGATATATCATATAGCAATATGATATATCACAATTTATTTATTCATTCAACTATTGATTGGTGAGCATTTGGATAGTAAGTTTGAGACAATTGCAAATTGTGCTGCTGTGAATATTCTTATATATATCTTTTGGTATACCTATGTATACATCCTGAGTGTATACCTGGGAGAGGAATTACTGTGGCATTGGGTATGTATTGGTCAACTATAGTAAATACTGCCAGTTCCTAAGTGATTATGCCAATTTACATTCCTATTGGCAGTGTATGAGAGAGTTTCAATTGTTTCTCATTCTCCCCAAAAGTTGGTATTGTCTTTTTTTTTTTTTGTCTTTTTCATTTTAGTCATTTGGTCATACATAGCAGCATATTATTTATTGTGGTTTAATATTTATTTCCCTTATTAATAATAAGCTAAGTACCTTTTTATGGTTTTTGTGCCATATGGATATCTTGTATTGTAAAGTGTTTATACTAGTTTCTTGCCCATTTTTCTAATTGTTTGTATGCTTTATCTTATTGACTTAAAATAATTCTTTTTCTTAAAGAGATTTTTAAGAAAAAAAAATCTGGAGACACAGAGACAGAGAGAGAAAGAGAGAAATCAGAGAGAGGGGATGGCCATGCTATAGACTCTTCTCCACTCTCCTCTTGGGATTTTGGGCATCCACACACACGCACCCATCATGATCTTCAAGCCACCAGGTCTCAGACCATGGTCAGACACGTGGAAGTCCAGCACCTCACCACCAGGCCACCTGCTGGTCCTTTAAAACAATTCTTTAAAGATTCAAGTTAAAAGTCCTTTTTGGGGGGCCAGTAGGTGGTGTGGTGGCTAAGGTACTGGACTCCCACAAGGCCAACTGCAGTTGAAGTCTCAGACCTTGTGGCTTGCTTTCTCACTTTCCCTCTCAATCTCTATCTCTGATCAAACTGGAAAATAATAATAATAATAAATAAAGTTAAACGAAATAATTCTTTAAAAAGAAAGCCCTTTGTTGGATAAACACACAAACATTTAAATATATTCTCTTACTTTGTGGCTCTTTTTTGTTTCTCTAGATGATATCTATTGATGATCGTAAATTCTTAATTTCAATGTAGCAATTCATCAGTCTTTTCCTCCATGGTTAGTGTTTTCTGTGTCATATTTAAGAAATATTTCTCTCCTCTGAAGATATTCTCCTGTGTTACCTTCTAAATGATCTATGATTTAACATTTCTTGGCTATATCTACAATCAACCTGGATTTGGCTTTGCATATGGTATGAATTAAGGGTCAAGAGTTACTTTCCATGTTGATATCCAATTAACAGGATACTTACTGACATGAGTGTCCTGTTGCCACTAGTGTTTCGTGTCCCCTTTGTCATAAATCGAATATCCCTATAGGTATAGGTCTATTTCTGGATTTTCTATTCAGTAGTTCCATTGCTCTATTTTTCTGTTCTTCAGCAATGCCATCTGGTTCTAACTGGAGCTTGATAATAAGTTCTGATATCTGGTAGTCTTCATATTCTTTTTCAGGTCTTGATTACTCTTAGCCTTTTTTCTTTGTATTTCCTCATAAGTTTTAGAATCAGTGTGTCCATTTCAATACTAATAAATAAATCCTGCTGGCATTTTTATTAGAATCACATTTATACTATGGATCAAGTTGGTAAAGAATTTATTTAATATTCATTTATCAATCCGTGGACATGGTTTATCACTTCATTTATTTTGGTCTTCTGTATTTCTTCTCAGTGGTGTTCGGTAATTTTCCATATAGATGTGTTTGCATTTTTTAAAAAGATTTATTTCTAGGTATTTAATGAATTTGATCTGATTATAAATGCTACCATATAATATAGTTTTACCCTCTAATTACTTATTACTGCTATATATAAATACAATTGATTTTGTATCTTAAACTTCCATACAGTTGTCTTGATCAATTCACTTATCAATTCTAATCATTAATCCATGGAGTCTTTAGGATTTTTCATGGGTCATCTGTAAATAATGACAGCTTATTTCTTCATGTCTGATCTATACCTTCCTCTTCCTCCTTTTCTACCTTTCTCTCCTCTTCTTCCTTGGTGGGCTTGTCATATTGACCAGGACTGTCAGTACAGTGATGGAAAAAAAAAGGTGACAGAAAAAATCCTTCTCTCATATATGACATCAAGGAAAAACATTTACAGTATTTTACAACTAAGTTTAATTTATACTCTTAGGTTTCTATAGTACTCCTATCAGGTTAAAGTTCTCTTTTTTTATTACTGACATTCTAATTTTGTTATTATGAATAAGTGCTGAATTTTATCATATTATTTTTTCTGCAGTTATTATGATTCTTCTTTTATTCTGTTAATGTTGTGAGTTACATTAATAGAAATGTAAATTAAGACAACTTGTCATTCTCGTTACAAACCCATTTTATTCCTGGAATAAACCCAAGCTAATTATAATATATTTTTTTTTCTGTATTTCTGGACTTGGTTTGAAAATATTTTGTTTAAGATTTTTGCATCTATGCATCTTGTAGTAATACTGCCAGGTTTTGGTATCAAAATTATGTTGGCTTTGTAAAAGAAGTTAGAATGTTTTCTGTCACTCTCTCCTTATTAGTCTCTAAAAGAGATCTGTAAATCAAAATGTAGTTTTCAAATCCCACCCCACTTGCCTAAGCTTCTTCTCTCCCTCAGTTGCTCATGCCCAAATCCTTGGAGTCTTTCTATCAGTCCTGTCATTCTATCTTCAAAATATATCCTGAATCCAGCTCATCACTTCCACTGCCACGACTAATTTCAAGCTACCATTACCTCATACCTACATTAACATTGGTTGACTTGTAACTGTTCTTATTTCTCTCATCCCTCCTCCTCACACCGCAAAATAATAATTTAAACATGGGAGATAAATCATTTAAATATGAGAGATCTTCAAAAAGCTGTGGAGATGTATATTATGACAAAAACTATACATGGATTTTCAATTTTTTTTAATGGTTTTTGAAAGGAGAAGTGAGAAATTATCACCCATGGGGATGGCTACTCCACAATCCTTTCTCCTTTGTTTCTCCTTTCGGGATTTTGGGCACACATGCACACATGCCTGGTGTGAGTTTAAGCCACCAGGTCTAGAACTCGAACCATAGTCAGCCGTATGGGAGTCTAGCACCTTAACCACTACACCATCTGCTGACCCTGGATTTTCAATTTTGTGTTATCAATTTTAATGCCACTTTTTCTCAAACTTTTTGAAGTCCCTTCACATAAGATTTCATCATTCTCTAGCTCAAAATTTCAAATGACTTCCTATTACTCTTAAAGTTCAAACTTCTTCCTATGACATATTAGTCACTATTAGCTTATTATTGCTTAATACCACAAAGATTTATTTCTTACTCAAAGTCTACTTAGATCCTGTATGACTCAAGAGGCCAGTTGTTCTTTATGTTGCAAGTCAATGATTCAGTCAACTTTGAATCAGTCTCTGTCATCTGGGGGAAGAAACAGCATGGCATTCCTCTGCTAGCTTATTTATGCTTTGACCTAAAGTAATACCACTCATTTCTGCCCACTGATTAGAAATAGTCACATGAACCCACTTAATCATTGTTGGGTTTTATTGATTAAAGGGAAATGTGGGGGTGCAAATGGAATGTTTGATGAGTATTAGTCTTCTGGACACTTACGACCCATAATCCCTACTTGCCTGTCTTTCCACTGTATTTCATTCTGCTCCACTCTCACTCGTCATGTTCCAGCCACACTAGTCTTTTTGCTGTTCCTCAAGCATATCTACTTCCTTTCCATATTAAGGCCTTTGCAGTTGTTCTTTCACGTGGAATGCTTTCCACTCACATTCTTTTGCCTGGCTTCCGCTCATTCAGTTCTCAGCTCAAATATCACCAGCCCAGCTATGATACCCACCTTATCTCACCATCACTCTCTGTTTTCTTGCTCTGCTTGGACACTCAGAGCCTAATTCTCTCTTTCCTCTTCTTTGAGGATTCCAATTATGTGCTTGGTAAGACTTATGTGTCCCATATGGCTCTTAGGTTCTTTTTTATTTTTTTCTGAAATTGTATTGTATATATATCACGTACTTCACAGTAGAAGGCCAACTGAACTTCAGAAATTCAAATAGCTTTCTTGTCAACCGTTGAAGGCCATTGTGAAATAAGTGATATAATAACCAACAACAAAACCACATTGTATATTGTAAGTCGAGACTCAACATTACCTGGTGTGGTGCCACTTCCTGACCTAGAGAGTCACCAAGGGAGAGCTGTCCTTCCATACCTGTGTTATATAGCAGTGGCTCTTCAGGAAGAGGAGCTCTTCTATTTTTTTTTTTTTTTTTGTATCAGACCTTA